TGAGAGTCTAGCTCCTGCCCACTTTTTCAGCCTCATCTCATACCAGATTCCTCAAATGAGATTTCTCCTTTGTCCCTTTAGAACCCCTGCATCTGACTTTTTTTCCTGCTACTAACCCTTCCCAGAGTGCCTTCCTCCAAGCTGGGGATATAGCCCAGGGGTAGAGTGCTTTCTGAGTATATGAGAGGGCCTGGGTTCAAGCCCCAGCCCCACAAAGAAAAGAAAGAAAAAGGGAAAAAATGCCATCTTCCTTTCTGCCTGGAAAAATACTCCCCTTTCAGGTCCAGTTCAGATGACAACTCATGATCTCCTAAGTGCAGGCCCAGGATCCCACTCAGACCTTGACTCTCTTTCCTGACCTTGGCACTTCTCCTGACCTTGGCACGCATGCCCTCCAGCCTTCTCCACTCAGGTAGAAGAGCTCCTTGTACACCCAGAGTGGATCCTGCAGCGCCCCAGGGATCCCTGTTACCCTCCAAACTATGTTCCCATTCTTCAGCCTTTAACACTCCTTATAAAAACATCATCCAAAGCAAACATCATCCTCCAACCAGCTCAACCCTCTACTCCAGGTACACGCCTGCTCCTTCCGTGTCTGGCATAGGCCTTGCCACGTGGCCCTGTGGTCATCTGAGACAGAGGAGCGGGGCTTCAACTTTTCACTCATTATGCCTCAAGGCATTTGGTCCAGCGTGAAGTAGTGTAGTGAGGGGTTAAGAGCAGACTGAGGAGCCAGACTGCGAGGGTTCAACTCCAGGCTCTGCTGCTTCCCGGTGTCACCAAGTTCAGCCAATTCCTCATCCTCTTTGTCTCAGTGTCATTATCTGAAGAACAGGACCATTAATAATGCCCTGTCATAGGGTGGTTGCAAGAATATTTGTAGAATAACAAAGGAACGTTACAGAAGACGGTCACAGATATGAACTATATGTTCCATGTATATCCAAGGGGACAGGAATATTGTATTTGTGGGATTTTGTTGATTTTGGGGTTTGGTTACTGGGGATTGAAGTCAGGGGCACTTAAGCACTGAGCTACATCCCTAACCCTTTTTAAATATTTCTCAGGCTGGCCGCAGGCTTATGATCCTCCTGCCTTGGCCTCAAAAGTTGCTGGGATTATAGGCGAGCGTCACCGTGCCCAGCTTTGTATTTTGTTTTTAAAAAAAACTTCTGAAACCAAATCAAAAAAGCATAATTTAGTATTTGCTAGTTCTGGGTAGTCAGTACTGGGTATCTGTTATATTTCTCTCCATACTTTTCTGTATACTTGGAATATTTTACAAATTTATTTTTAAGAGTTGAATAGGGAACTGGGAGTGGTGGGTCATGTGCCAGCATGTGCAAGGCCCTGCATTTGATCCCCCAATTCCACACAAAAGAGGGGGGAAATAGGAATTGACAGGGAAGTAGGGAGAGAGAGAAGTTACAAGTAGAGGGAAGAGCTGAAGGCAGAGAACACACACTTCCGTCAGCTCCACTGTGCTAAGAGCAGGGGACTTGGGTTTGGTGGCAAAAGGCAGGGCTGAGTGGGGAAAGAGGGAATGAGGAGAGGAAGGAGGGTGGAGACCACACAAGGCCCCAAAGACCAAACTGAGGGGCTAGGACTCACTCCTGGGGGCCTGGGGACCATGAGGGAGACTGTGAGCAGAGAGGGACATGATGTGAAAGGACCCCTAAGAGTTTGTGGGGGATGGTCCGAGGAGACAAGTCTAGAGGCAGGGGGGCAATGGAGGAGGAAAGGGACGGAGAAGAGGGGAGGAAGGGCAGAGGTTGAGAGCTCTGAGGGTGTGACAGGGAGGGAGAGGGCAAGAGTGACCCAACGTGCAGCAGGACTGTCTCAGCCAGGGAGCTAGAACAGCTCAGGGGAGTTGCTGAGCTTCACCCTGGTCCTTGGGGGTCCACAGATCTTCTCCCTCATCGTCTTCTCCTCCTTACTGACCGATGGCTACCAGAACAAGACAGAGTCTCCCCAGCTCCACTGTGTCCTCAATAGCAACAGTGTGGCCTGCAGCTTCGCTGTGGGCGCCGGCTTCACGGCCTTCCTCAGCTGCCTGACCTTCCTGGCCCTGGATGCCCAGGAGAGCCGCATCGCCAGCACCCGCTTCAGGACGGCCTTCCAGCTCCTGGACTTCATCCTGGATGGTGAGCCCCGGGGACCTCCCGCCCAGAGCCACCCACTCCTGCAATGGCCCATGGGGCACAGCCCTTAGCCACCCAGCTGGCCCCATACCTGACAGTCCTCTCATCCTATGGATCTGACCACACATGGCCCCACGTTTCTTGCTGCTAGTTGGCGCTTGCTGTTTCCTCCTTGGGGACAAATAAGCATCCTCAAGAGCTAGCACATGGCTTGCCCCCAGGCTCACCCCTTCTGCCCAGCTTCCCCTCACTTCCCCATTCATCTCCTTTCTTGAAAAGCCACTCCGTGGCTGGAAGTGGAGTTTGGAGTTTGGAGCCAGATGGACCCCAGCACCTCCTGGCTCTGCAGGCTCATGTCTCTTCCCTTCTTTTACCATCAATAAAAGCTGGGACCAAGACCCCACCTTGCAGGGGTTTCTGTGGATGAAATAAGCGGGGCTTGTAGTACCGCACACATTCACAGAGTGCTTCCTCAGGCAGGCACACAAATCCTGTCCTTTAAAGTCCTCAGAACCACCCTAGGAGGTGAGTCCTGCTCATTTTCCTGTTTTACAGAGAAGGAAACTGAGGCTTGAGGAGGCTCTTTAATGGGCCGCCACTGCAGAGTGAGTGGCAGTCAGACACTCTTCACCACTGCCAAATACTCTCCATAGAGCCTGGCACACAGTAAGCACTAAATAAATGCACATTCCTTAAACTTACACCCTGGCCACCTCCTCTGTCGGATCTCTTCTCCCCCCTCCTCCTCCCTGCAGGGTTCAGGGAGTCCTCACAAGTCAATGAATCTGCTGAGAGCTTCCCGTGAGAGGGGAAAGGTTCTGTACCTGTGCTGTCCGGCATAGGAGCCGCTGACTACACATGGTCACTGAGCATTTGAAATGTGGCCAGGGTAACAGAGGAACTGAATTATTTTCAGATCTACTTGAATGAATTGAAGTGGAAGCAGACCCATGAGGCCCGTGGCTCCTGTGTTGGCCATTTTGGACAGCAAAGCCTTTTGCAGCAGCTTACTCTTAGGAGGGCTCGGAGGGATTGGGTACAACAAGTGGGAAGTCATGCAAGACCCCTAACCCCATCTTTGCACATCTCCGGTCCCTATTCTCTCCCCACACCACAGTCCTCTGGGCAGGCATCTGGTTCGTGGGGTTCTGCTTCCTGGCCAACCAGTGGCAGCATTCACAGCCCAAAGAGTTCCTCCTGGGGAGCAGCAGCGCCAAGGCAGCCATCGCTTTCTCTTTCTTCTCCATCCCTGTCTGGGTGAGGTCGAGCCCCAGCCCTCACCACACCCCCGGGACCCTCTGCAGAATGGGGTGGGAGGGATAGAACATTCCAGCTTTGTGTTGCTCCCCTGGTGGTCAGGGGTTGGGGGCTCTCCCCGGGCCTCTGTTGACCTCTTCCAGGCTCACCTTCCTCTGAGCAGCCAGAGCCCAACATCAGGAGTGGTGCCTTGGCTGGGTGTCCATGGGCAGTGAGCAGTTGGTACAACTGGTCCCTGCCCCTCCCTCCCAGGCTAGTCCCTAGCCTGCCCTCTCCTCCCCTGCCCATCCCAAGTCAGCCTTCAGTCACCCTTTTCTGCCCACAGATATTCCAGGCTTATCTGGCGATCCAGGACCTCCGAAATGATGTTCCAGTCCCCTACAAGCGCTCCCTGGATGAGGGTGGCGTGGTGCTGACCACCCTCTCCCCACCCTCTGCCGCCAGCCCTGTCAATATGCCCACCGGCCCAAACAGCCTGGGTTACTCCAGCTCTGCCCTGTCCCCCTATCTGACCACTCCAAAGGCCCCTCGCCTTGCTATGATGCCTGACAACTAAACATTCTTATCCACATCAGTAAAGAGATACTCCTCCCTCCAGAAGGGTTTCTGAAAACAGCCCTGTCCTTCTCATGTCTGTTCTGCCTATCCCATGAGTGTCTGGGGGTGAGGGGGAGAAATCCCACTGGGTCACAGAGGTCTCTGCAGTAGGTCACATTACTGTAGCACCTCCAGGTACCCTCTTCCTGGCAGCGGGCAGGAAGCTATTTTCATGCCTATTAAGTACCAAGTCCTGTCCCATCATCTGCTCCTCAAGCCCCTCCCACACTGCCATGGAGGGAAGAACAAGCTGTCCCATCATACAGGTGAGGAGGCTCAAGTTCAGAGAAACTGTTTCCACCCGTGGAGAGAGCACCAAGAATCAGGGCAACGACAAGACCCATCCAGTGCTGATGTCAAAGCCCATGGCCTTCCACTACTTACAGTGACAAGGGACCCAACACAAAAGCATGCTGAGGAGGCAGTGAAGGGACAGGGGAGATTCTTGTCTTCAAATATTCCAAAGTCCATCTTTGGAAGGGAGGGATTTCTGCTCTAGTGGAACCCCAGGGGTAACAGGGCACTTGTGCACAGGCCACAAATGCTCCTGCCTCTGGGGTCCAGCAGGTAACCCCAAAGGGAGAAGCACCTGTCGACATAGTAGCAAGGATGGGGGGGGCCCTCTCTGGGAGGGGCAGCCTCCACCCACCATTCAGCCATGCGGCCTGGAGATACTAGAGCAGCGCTGTCCAATTGAAATTGGCTAGTAGCCCACCACATTAACAAAGCAAAACAGTGAAGTTCATTTTAATATATTTTATTCAACCCAATATGTCCAAAATATCATTTCAACATGTAATCAATATAAAAATTGTCAGTGAGGTATTTTACATTTTTTTATACTGAGTTTTGAAATCCACATGTATCTTACATTAACATCTCACCTCATTTTAGATTTGCCACATTTCAAGTGCTCAATGGTCATGTGTAACTGATGGCTACCATATTGGACAGTGCGGCTCTAGAACCTGTTTTTTCAAGAACAACTGGACATCCATTTGTGTGTGTGTGCGTGTGTGTATGTGTTTTAGTGTGAAATTAGGGGCAACAGATACAAAAAAAAAGTGATCACTGTGTGCAGGCCAAACAAAACACACCTACACAGGGGGCCACTGCAGCTGCAGAACATTTGTTTCCAAACTGGACAAAGGGATGTGGGTTGTGGGGAGTCAACTTTGGGTTCCATTGGTCTCTTTTTTGAGGCTTCATGTGTACCAGGCCCTGTACTTGGTTCTGGAGGTACAGAAATAAATACAACACGGTCCCCATGGGCATCTACAGAAAATGGCCACAGTGCAGTGGGACAGGAAGTACTCTGACCTGGGAAATGGGGTTCTGAGCCTTTGCTCCTCATTCTGTCACCAGCTGGATGGTCTCAGGTGTGTCACTTAACTTCTCTGGGGTGAGTTATATTGGCTTACAACTAAAGAATTGGATCTGATTTAGACAGGCAGTTTTCAGATTGGGTTCAAAGAGGTGCCTAGGGCTGAACAGGCAGGGATACCGCCCTTACCCCACAGTTCACTCAGGTGGCCCTGCTCCTGTGTTTCCAATACCAGGCTTCTAAACAGAGGTCCCTTGGCTTAAAAGGGCACGGGCGGCGGGGGGGTGGGGATGTGCTAAAAACACACAGAAGCAGTTAAACACAAAGGCTCTGGTGTCAGGAACTGCATATGCAAACTCCATCTTTGCCCTTACCCCACCAAGCCAGTTTCTTCATCTATAAAGAGCCCCCTCTTTAGGGAGGATAAGGGTCAATGAGCTTATCCCGGTGATGCACAGGGCCTGGTACCTATTAAGGACTCAGGAAATGCCAGCTCCCTGCCTCCTGAAGCTTCCATGGTTATCCTGCAGAAGATCTGGAGGCAGCTGAGCAGAGTTAGGAAGTTCTCATACAGAAGTCTGACTAAAACGAGGGTCAAATCTAAATGTTTACAAGAGCGAGACAGGTTACCTAAGGGCAGGAAACAGGCCAGGTGTGAAGCCAATCCAGAGAGACCTAGAAAATATTTCATTTGCCTTTTAACGCTACACAATCAAAACAAAACAAACAAGACACATGGTGTCAGCCCAATAATAAACTACAGCAGCTCCACAGCCAAGTCCTGGGGACCGTGGTGAAATGCTCACATCCCCTCCATTCAGTGCCTGCCATCTGCTGCAGTCCAGAAGTGCAGGCCCAGCACCGTCAGGCTGACAGCTCTCTTTTTAAGAGAAGCCAGAAATCCAGACTTCAAAGTGAAAATCTGGTTTTGAAAGGCTGGTGACCCATTCTTTTTCAGAAAAAAACACCATGTGGCTCAACAAAATGCATCACAGTGCCATTCGAGGGCGGGCGGGCCAGGGGCTGCCCACTTGTGGCCTCTGACATACGTGTTCTGGAGAGTCCTCCGCAGCCCTGAGGGTCTGGAGGGCCATCAGGCAGTTTCTACGGCAAGATTCTTACAATCTTCAAGATTTTCTCCAAAACCTCTTCCCCAGCAGAGCCGTAAGAATCAGGGTGCAGCTGAGTCTTGGAAAACCCCATTTCTCATCTTCCTGCTCCTCCCAGGCCTCTGGTCACCAGGGACAGTCCATAAGGAAAAAGCAGAAGCAGAGAGGGGTTGGGGTAGGACCCCACATATGCCAGAGAGAGGGCAAGGAGTAGCAAAAGAGGTATCATTTTCCTCTGTTTATTTCAAGAGAACAAAGAATTTACCATCAAATTCTGTACAAAAACATGGCATCAGAGCTGTGGCAACCCTTATGCCAGCCCCTTCCCATGCCTGAGCCCAGAGCCCCCCTCATTTGTGAAAAAACAGGAAAAAAACAAAAACTCAAATTATAGGGGGGTTATTATGAAAAATCAGGGGAAACCTTCCTGGGCCCCCCTTCTTCCCTATCCCCAACCCAGGAACTTGGGTGGAGGCGCTGTGGTCCTGGCCACGGTGAGAAGTGGGGCAGGCAGTGGGCAGTTTAGTGTTTGGCAACCAGTGGGGCTGTGGACAGAACCTGGAAAGGCCTGAGGGGCTCGAGGACGGGAAGAGACCCCTGGCCCGGCCTTGGCCCATAGTACACTCGAAAACAGTTTATAAAAATTGGGGCCAGAGAGTAGAAGAGAAAGGAGTCATCAGAATCAAAAACTAAATAGTGGAAAGATTTTTTTTTTCTTCTCTAAAAGGCAAAAAACTACAAACAGCCCAGGTCCTGAGCTCCCCAAGACTTGGGTCCTCCATTGCCCCCCACCCCAGCCCGGTAGGAGTGGGTATGGGGAGCAGGGAGAGATGGATTCTTTAAAAAGTCACCCCTGGACGGGAAGGCTCGTCTTCTGTCACCTTCCTCTGCCTCCCGACACTGCCGAGGAGAGGGCTGGTGAGGACCAGGGCTACGCCGGCAAGCTTAGCTTCTTCCCCTTTAGGACTGTGGAGAGAGATGGGGTGGTGGTTAGCCTGGAGGCCTGCAGAAAGGGGACCATGTCGTGCCCCCAGAGCAGGGGCTTGTGCATTGGGCTGGGCAGACATGCAGGGAGGGACAGCTCCCAGGACTGAGGATCAAGAACTGAGGGGACTGGCAGAGACCACAGAGGGGTGAGGTCGGGAACCTTGTTCTCATCCCAGGGACTGAGCAATGGGGGCCAAGAGAGGCCCCATTTCTCCAGTGCTGGCTGTTTCTCTTTCTCCCTCTCTGTCAGGGCTGGCCAGGTGAAACCTCCCCCTCCCACCCTCAAGACTTACTCCTGGGGGCTGGGCACTGTCTCTAAGCCTCTGCTCACCACCTCTCTTTCCTTCACACACGAACTCCTGGGATTCAAGGTCTCTGCTTAAACACCACCTCCTCCAAGAGACCGACCTGCCCACGTGGGGTAGCCCCCACCCTTCACAGTTCTCCATGAGCATCCTCGTGCCTTTCTTCCATAGCTCTTCCCAATATTGGTAATTCTCTTTCTTTATTCACACACTGTCTCCCCAGGAGAGTATAAGGGGAGGGAAGGGCCTTGACCACCTTTTCTCCTGCTACATCCCCAGAGCCTAGTGCTTGATGAATTTGTTGGACAGATAGATGGATGGATGGATAGATGGATAGATGAACGGATGGATCTCAGTGTGCCCAAGTCCCTGCCTGGCCTAAGCTATACTTGAAGCAATCAATACAGTGTGAAGACAGGAACTCCTTGGTCCTCGGGGAGAAAAGGGCTGGAGGCATGAATTCCTAGGGGACAGAGGGTGCGGGACCCCAGAAGCCAGGAGACGAAGCCCTCCCTCCCTTGAGCAATACTGGGCTGAACAGATGGACGCCAGGCCACGGGGAGGGTTGGGGACAAGGCAAGGCAGGCCCCCTCCAGCCGGCCCTGCATCCTGGCTACCTTTGGTGATATAGAGGTAGAAGAAATCGCAGTAGAGGACAGTCTGGACCAGGCCAGCCACGATGGCGATGAGATCGAAGAAGCCCTCAAAGTGGTAGCGCCAGATCCAGTTGAAGAGATACAGGGTGCGGTAGACGCCCAGGGCAAACAGGTAGTGGCTCGTGATGGTCTCCGCCTCGCCAGTCTTGCTCACCATGAACAGTTGTGGCAAGATGGCCACTGACTCCAGGTAGATGGAGAAGGTCCAGAGGATCTGCCGAAAGGCCGGGGAGTGAGAGCAGAGGCCAGGGTGAGAGGCTGGGATGAGGGGGCGGGGCAGGGGAGGACGCAGAGAATGCGCTGCAGTCACAGGCACTGTGAACTCCATCCTGGTGCTTAGCACATGCCCCATGCCATCCTGCCCTGTTTCAATGCAGCTCCTTTAATCCTCACCACTGCCCCGTGGCAGAATCATAATTATCAAACCACCCTTCTACAGATGTGGAAACTGAGGCTCAGAGAAGGTTGCTAGGACACTTGCTAGTAGCTAGCAAGCAGCAGAAGCAGAGGCTTGAACTGGAGTCAGTACCCATGAGCTCTCTGCAACTGGCCTCTCTAAAGGTGGACTGGGTTGGAAACTTGGCTTGGAGATTCCCTTCTAAGACCTTAGGTAAGACACCAGACTCCACAAGCCTCCACTTCCACCTCTCTACAACAGGGCTGTTATTTTGCTCCCCGAGGATCATCATTCAATCTTTAGAGACCTCAATTAGGCAATGTTGACCCTGGCTTAAAATCCTCCAGTAGCTTCTTCCTATCACAGCAAGAATTAAATCCTAGTGCGTTGGCCTTCGGCACCTGTCAACCCAACCTCCTCTCCCACTCCCCCTTCACTCTGGGCTGCAGCCATCTGGGCCACCTCTCTGCTCTTCCAACATACCATGCTCCTTCCTGCCACAGGGCTTTTGCACTTGCTGTTGCCCTAGCAGGGAAATCTCTTCCCAGTGGTCATGTGCCTACCTCTTCCCTGGCAACAGAACTTCTGTCTCCTCCTGTGCTGTGATTCTATTCCCCAAGGGTAACCCTATGGGTGAGAATTGGGTGTACACCTGTCAAATCACTATCTTATCTTCTTCCTGTCCCTCTCACCAGAACTGAACTCCATGGTGTCCTGCATCTTGCTCACCCTGGGGCCCAGCACCTAGCACAGTTCCTGAATGAATAAGAGAGTGAGTTGAAAAGGACCCCCCATGCATGTGGCATAAGCCACCATGTAAGAGTAGTGAAAACCATCTTCATGAGCAGGGCAATGGTTTCACAAGACAGGAAGAAGAGACTACAGACATCTGCCAGTCCCTTGTCAGTCCCCAGCTCTCTGAAAGTCCCACCTGGGGTGATTCATGATCTGCAAGATACTCGAAACCTGTCCTCAGAGAACAAAGCCTGGTGGCAGGTGTGGCTCCTCCTCAGCTGTTTTGGTTTGTGGGAAGGAAGTGGGAAGGAAGTGGAAAACACGAGGACGTATTCATAGCAACCTGTGCTCCTAGGTGCCTCCAAGACGCTGTGGTGTGCACCTCAGGCTTCAGTCTTACCCTGTGAGGTAAGTCCATTATCATCCCTGTTACATAAATGAGCAAACTCAGACCCAAGGGCTAAGCAACTTGTCCAAGGTCACACCAGATTCCCACCCAGGCAGCTGGACTGCAGGGCCTGCTCCCTTAACCACCCAAAATCCTCAAAGAGGCTCTTAGCAACCAGGTTTGGTTGAGGTTCTTGAGAAATGTACCCATTAAATTGATGTACAATCACAGCATAGGAGGAGATGGAAGTTCTGCTGCATTTATCTATTTCATGAGATCTGATTTTCCCCCTGGTACTGGGGATTGAATCCAGGGGTGCTCTACCACTGAGCTATACCCTAGCCCTTTTAATTTTTTCACTTGAGTCAGGATTTTGCTTATTTGCTGATTCTGGCCTTGAGCTTGCCATCTTCTTGCCTTAGCCTCCTAAAGCACAGGATTGCAGGTATGCCCACCATCCCAACATGACACCTGAATTTTTTTTTTTTTTTTAAAGAGAGAGTGAGAGAGGAGAGAGAGTGAGAGAGAAAGAGAGAATTTTTAATATTTATTTTTTAGTTCTCGGCGGACACAACATCTTTGTTGGTATGTGGTGCTGAGGATCGAACCCGGGCCGCACGCATGCCAGACGAGCGCGCTACCGCTTGAGCCACATCCCCAGCCCCGACACCTGAATTTTTAAAGACTATCTTCCTTCTATGATTAAAAGCATCATCAAGTAGCACAGGCTTTGGAAACAGGCAAACCTAAGTTCAAATCTTACAAATTCTCCCTCTGAGTCTCAGTCCTCTGAGAAATCAAAATAAGTACATCTCCCCCATAATGACCAAGAGATCAGATGCAATGAAGACTAGAATAGTCCACTCAGGCCAGGCGCACAGTGAGCGATGAAACTTTGCACAAGTGACCTTTCTTTGTGAACATGGGAAACACAAAGGCTACTGTCAAGAAGCTAAGGTTCTGGTCTGGCTCCCACCTTGAGAAAGCCCCCTTGTCTCCTGCAGCCTGCCAGCCTCTCCATCTGCAAAATGGGTCCAGTAACCTCTACTTGGCAAAGTGGCTATGATTTAGTCAAGGGTATGGCTAAGTGCCCTCTGCAAGGTGACCACAGTATATTTGCAAAGTCAGCATCTGAAATCAAGACCAGGATTCCCACCGTGGCATGATATGATCCCCTGTAGCATTTCTGGAGACCTAATGGATAGTCACCCCTGTTAGATTTATCTCTACCCTACACAGTGGTTTCATTATTCTGAATCTGTGGCTACAATTTTACAATGACATCTTGCCTGAAAACTCCTGAATTACACCTTCTGTCGAAGGTCAGAAGAAAACATCAGCACGTCCAGCCACCCGGGGCCAGTTTCCTACAGGGCAGGAGTAGGGAAGGAAGGGTTGCCCCAAATTTATAACTCCTGCCAGACTCCAGGAGGCCTGAAATGGCAGACCTAGCATGGGCCCTCCCAAAATCCCTCCCAGGAGTTTGTACAGGCCCCACCAAAATGCCATGGAATAAAGATCACGGCAGTTAACATTTCAAAGAAAAAGTATCAGGCACAGCACAAAACACTTAAGTCACCGAACACTTACTGTCATGGCATTCCCGCCTCATGCCATACACTGGGCCTTACAAACATCAACCCTTACTAAACTCTTTGAGGGCTGGGGCTACATGCAGCTCAACGCCAGACTACATGCCTAGCATGCCTGGAACACTGGGTTCCATCCCTGCACACACACAAAAGAAAGAACCTATAAGGTAGGAACAGATTATCCCCATTTTACAGACGAGGAAACAAGTACAGAGAGGTTTGCATGACTTGCCCAAAGTTCACTGCTGCTAAGTGGAAGGGGCAAGCTTCTCCTGCACACTGGTTCTAGGGTCTCAATGTATTTAACCAGAGGCAATGTTGTCACATCTCAATAAATCCTCACAGTGACCCAATTCTACTTTACAAATGGGGAAACTAAGTTATGGAGAGGTCAAATCACAGGCCCAGGTTCATGCTAGTAGAAAACAGCAGACCTAGGATACAAGTCCAAGCATCCGTGCGTGCCCCATGTTCCCAAGTCCTGAGCTATTCAGTTGGGTACTATCTAGGTTGGTGACCTTGGACATTTAGACTCCCTAGATTTCAGTTTCCCTACCTCCAAAATGGGATTGTTGCAAAGTGAGTCCATATCTGTTAACTGCATAGAAAATGTCTGGTTCATAGTGACTGCTGCTGCTACCCTTAACACCATCAGATTCCAGAGCCTGTGCGAGGAGCATGCAGGTCCTAAAATAAGGAAGTCTCAGCAACCCCCATGGAAGGAAGCATTGGAGACTCCCTGCTATCAGCAGTCCTTCGGCCACAACCATCTGACCATTGCAGGACACACCAGGGGCCTACCTCCAGAGGAGTGAAGTCGTGGTTGACCAGGAATGCCAGGATGGCTGTGGGGACGACGAGGAACTCCACCCGGAACGTATCGTGGTTCCCATCGTAAGTGGCTTTGAACTTACTGTAAATCATCCAGACCGTGGTGAAAGAGCAGGCTATGTAGACCACCTGATGAGGGGCATGATGACAGGGTGTCTCAACTCACAGAGCAGGATGGAAGCACAGGCCCCTTCCTACTCGGAGGCAGAAATTCAAGTCCCCAGCCCCTGCCCCATAAGAGTCCAGACCCTCAGGCCCAGGAGCCCCAGCCTCAGGCCCCACACCCACTCTTGCCCACTCTTCCCTGGGACCCTGGCCTGGCTCCCCTGCCTCAGGGGGCCTAGGGAGATGGTGTGGAGACTTTACCTTCATGCACGTGTTGTAAAGTGAGATGTAGTTAGTGAAGAGGTCCAGGTAGCGGGCAGTGAACACCACAGCAAACAGAACCTGGCTCTTCCCTGAAATCCCTGTGGTCCAGACAGAGAGAGGAGGAGAAGGAGGCTGAAGCAGGTTGCATGGGCAGTAAACTAAAGCACGGTGCTTGGGAAGAGCCTGGAAACCGCTCTGGAGTGCAGCAGTCCCAGGAGGCCTCCCCAACCTCCTTTGCTTCAGCAGGGCCCTTTCCCACGGCCCACAGCCAGGGGGCAGCCAGTCCCAAAGCTACTCTAGCCCCAGGCTTCAGTCCCAGTCTAGGCCTCACTGCCACCTCTGGCCCCCTCAGGGTCCTCCCACCATCTGGACCGAAGGTGGGGCCTAAGGAGGGCCCTGCCTGACCTCAGCCCCCGGAACCAGTCACCTCCCTCCGCTCCCTTCCCGGCCACCGCGGTCCACGTCACCAACTCACAGCCACCTCCCCGCCTTCCGTGGTTCCCTGTTCCCAGCCCGGAACCCCACAGCTGCCCAGACTGGGGCTGTAGGAGGCTAAACTGGAGGCCTGGAAACACCCTCACTAACATGTATGCACCTCCACCCGCGGTCAGGGGAAGGGAGTTGACCCCCTGCTGACCCCGGACAAGAAGAGGGATCCCCAGCAAGCAGCGGGGGCTGGAACTTGTTCCCCTCGTGCTCCCAAAGCCTTCCCCCTGTCCTGGGACGCCCCCCGCAGCCTGTCCCCTCTGCCCGGGTGGGCCTCTCACCGGCACACGAGCGGGACTTCCAGATTTTAAGCAGTAGCAAGATGATGGCTAGGAGGTGGGAGAGGTCTCCCAGGAATCGGAAGAGATTCATGGCTGGGGGGGCTCTGGCAGGGCTGAGCTGGAGGGAGGCAGGCTGGTGGGGGCTGCCCCCCGGGGCTGCTGTTCTGGCGGGCGGCGGGCAGAGGGGCGGGAGAGGGACCCTCCGATGGGCTCCACTCCGGGGAGGGGGTTCTATGAGGGGGAGCCGAGGCCGGAGCTGGCGGCCGAGCTAGAGCGGGGAAAAGGGAGGAGGGAGGGAGGGGGAGGAGTCCGGAGTGGGAGCTCCGCCCCTGAGGGCGGGCTCCTGTCTCTCGGGCTCCCCCTGTCGCCCACCTCCAGCCTTACAGAGCCGGCGCCGAAAAGCGCCCAAGGCTGTGTCCTATGAACTTGCAGGGTCGCTGGGATCTGACACTCCCAAATCCCCGCACTTGATCCCCTAGGCAATCTGTGCCACGGTAAAGGACAGACTACACCAGCCAAGCCTCTGCCCTTCACAGGGATTCGGAGGCTGGCCTCTGAACTTTAAAAACCCAGGGCCCAAAACAATAACAACAAATCCTTGACCAAGACCAAGAGGCTGGGCGGTAGTTTCTGACCTTCTCAAGGGCCCTCTCCAATCCACCCAAAAGAAAAAAGGTGACCGGCCCCCATCCTCTCCTTCCTCATGCCCTCCTTCCTTAAATCCAAGAGTCCAGGCCCCAGCCCTCCTCCCTCAGACCCAGGAGTCCAGAGTTCCTTCTCCACTGAGACTCAGGAATCTGGGGCCCCTCCTTCAAACCTTTTAAGTGCTCAGGCATTTTGACACTCTCCTTGATGAAACACCCTCAGGAACCTGAGACCCATGGATATAACCCTGGGGAAGGCAGTCTGCTCAAGCCTCTGAGGAAATACCTTCATATCACTTCTTTTTTACTGATGGCCCACAATCTCCAATATCCAGAAGGAAAGCAGTGTCTGCTCCATCATAGACACAGCAGTCCAGACCACAGCCTGGTCCCCGAGGTTCCACAAGACCACATTCTCATCTTATCCTTCCAATTGGGGTGTTCCTGGTGTTTCTATAAAGCTGCCCAGACTGTTCTGGGAAGTTGTGTGGTGCAGGACACCTGGGCCTGAGAGTGGAGGCCGAGAGAGGGAGAGTGAAAGAAAGAGAGAGAGAGAAGGTAGAGGTAACTGGAGCAAGAGCTGGAACCTGGCTCAGGAACTCCTGAGATAGTCCGAGTGTAAGTTTTGCCCTTGAGCCCATTAAGTGAGACTCTTGTTTCCTTCATTGCCAAGATCTGGGAGGGCAGGGCTGAAGGTACCCATTCCTGAAAAGGAAGAAACTTGGGGACTAGAGTTTGAATGTTAGAGGAAGAAAAGGATTGTGGATCCAGATTCCTGGGATTAAGATGCTTGAGCCATAAAATGGTTGGGATGAGACCCTAAGTTCCAAGGAAGAGGGTCATGGAGGTGAGGGGCTGGGGCCTGGACCCCTGGGTCTGAGGAAGGAGGGCCTGGGGGTTTGGACAACTGGCTCTACCATGGAGACCTAGTCCACAAGCCTGGCCTCATGGAGCAATAGAAGCCAAATGATGGCTCTTAGCATGGTAGATTTTGAAGTCAGAGAAAGGACTGGTGCTTCCCACCCCTCAAAGTGAGAGTCAGCAACCCCTGGCCTGGGAATCTACCTCGTGTCTCCAAAACAGGCGAGCCCTTGCCTACCCTCCCCCTTCTTCCTCCCTTTTTATTTGCAGCCCCTCACTGCCTTGTCCCAGGAGAAAGGGAGAAGCTGGGAGCAAGGTGGGGGGCGGCCCCCTCCCCCAACCCTGGCAGGAGGAGGGGTCCCCAGGGAGGCCAGGAGGGGGGGCTGTGGGTCTCCCGGCAGGGACGGACGGGGACTGAATGTTAATCGCATCCCAAGTGAGTGTGTGTGTGCGAGAACAGAGCGAGTGTGCGAGTCCCTCCCGCTCGGCTCCTCCAAGCCGCGGCCGCCGCCGCCGCCACCCTCCGCCCGCAGCCTTCTCGGCCACCGGCGCCCAGCTGGGGGGTGTCGGCCTGGGTGGGTCCGCCCGGCCCCCAGGGGTCTCTCGTGTGACTGCCATCTGCCCGGTGAGAATGTGTGTCTGGGTATCAGGGCCGGCTGTGGGGGGGTGTGTCTGTGTTAGGGCTGCGGCGGCCGAGGGAGGAGGGGTCTGTCTGTCTGTACCGACCCTGAGCCGCCTGCTGGCACGTCGCGGGCCTCCCAGTCCTTCCCCTGAGCCCCCAAACCTGGATGAATGGTGTATACCTGGGTTCTGTGCCTCCTGCCTGCGTCCGGCTGGGTGTCTGAGTATCCCCGGCTGCCTGTGTCCTCCTGTCTGTCCGAACAGCCCCTGACGGCAGCCGCAGCTCGGCCCCCATTGGACCCCTGTGTGTGTGTGTGTGTGTGTGTGTGTGTGTGTCTCCCTCCTTGAGCTCCGGGGGTGTTGAGGGGGAATCCCAGGGAAGTGAGGCTGTGCGTGTGTGCGCGTGTGTATGTGTGTTTCTGGCTGTGTTTGAGAGTGGGGGCGCCGGGGGGAGGGGTCTGGAGGTGACCAAGCGAGGAAGGGGCAAGCGGTCCCCAGACAGGCAATCTCCCGCTTCTCACGCTAACACGCACACCAAACACCCGCTTCAGAGGTGACCCAGACAGACAGACAGACAGACACAGACGCTGGAGGGAGGGGGGCGCAGAGGGCATAAAGCAGAGGGGTGCGAATGAGCCAGGGAGAGGCGGGATGGGACACATGAACTGGGGGAGGAGCCGGGGCTGAAGCAGCAGAGGGGGGCACCCCGGTGGGTGGAGGGGGGATCCCCGCGGGGTCGGGGCCGCAAGAGGACACCCCGACAGCCTCCGCAATGTCCGGGGCCCAACTTCCAGCGCAACATGTGTAGCCTCGTCCTCGCCTAGTCCTGGTGGCCGCAACCTTGGGGAACAGACAGGGCAGGTCTGGACCAAGGAAGAGGAGGGAGAGACGGAGCCAGGAACAGGCAAGAGGTCCCCACCGCCGCAGCTACCGCTACCGCCGCTGCTGTTGCTGCCGCCGCCCCGGGGCCTGACCCCCCCCACCCCATCGGCTCCCTGAGCCCTGCGCGGAATCTTCGGGTCGCTGGACGCCGGCTCCGGTCCTGGCACCCCCGCAATCCCCCCAACAGAACAGGGTCATGAAAAGGTAAGGTCGGGGCAAGGGGATTCAAGGTGGGGGTGGGGATGTGGACCCCCAAAATCTAGGACAGGGAAAGTTGCCCAAGGGCCTCATGGAGGGAGGGGGCTCAAATGGCAGGCAGAAGTCTGTACCCTCAGCTCCCTTGCCTCTTGGGGACTCTCCTCCACCCCCTTTCTCCCTGAGCCCCTTTTCCTGGGTCTCTATACCTCAGACCTCCTCCGCCCCCCCTTTCTCTTACACTGCTCCTCTAGCCAGCTGCACCTACCTGACACCCCATCTCTGACTCTCCAGCTCACCTCTGCATCCCCCTCCCAGCATCTGTCTCCCCATTGCCGTCCAGCCCTCTCCCTCTCTCCTCTCCTTTCCCCTCCCATCTTGGAGCTATGAGTCTGCTATTAATACTCCTGCCAAGGACCTTGCGGGCATCCAGGCCCCCCTCACCCTTCACCCCAAGCCACCACCCCTTCCTCAAGGTTCTGGAATGCCCTTCTAGCCTCTTGCAAGCACCACGATTGGGGTGGGGAGACGCAGGGCTGTGTGTGTATGATTGGGAGGGGGGACGGGATGCCGTCTGCAGCACAGCTTGGGGGGGGAGCTGTTAATCAAAGTGGACTCTCTTATGTGATGGATGGGGGAGCAACGGAGACAGGGACGCCCCAGGAATCTCTGGCACCCTCCTCCTCCTCAGCTTGGGGACAGACTTGTGCTGTGTACAGTCTGAGTGGGGCCACTGGGGAGGCCATAGCTGGGAGGGGGTGCCCAGGATGTTGGAACTGATTGGATTTGAAATAAAAAGGGGTCCTTCAGGGAGAGCAGGGCTGGAAACAGATTCCTGGGTCTGGAAGCAAGAGAGACAGGATTCCTGGGTCCTGGGAAAGAACAGAGTAGAACTGGAGTCCTGGGGGAGGCGGGGGCTGACAGGCAAGACCAGGAGTCTTTCAGGAGAAGTTGCAGGGCAGTGCTCCTGTGTCTGAGGAGGGCTAGTGGTTCAAGCTCCTGGCAGAGCCGGGGTGAGGGCCCAGCCTCTTCAGCCTCTGTATGGGGCCAAGATTCATGAGGTAGAAATTGGGAGCTTGGTTGCTTTCATTCTTGGGGGTGTGGGCTCTGGGAATCAGGCTTCCAGGGAACTAGATGGCTGAGAATGCCACCCCACAGTCCCTGACGGTTGGGATTTGCCCTCCCAAACCCCTTATAGGAAATGACTGCGCCTCCAGCCTCCTAAGAAGGGTGGGGCTGGGGGTTACCCTCCTGAGCCTCAGAAGGGAGCAGAACCCTGAGGTCCCCAAAGGCAGAAGGCAGGCAAGAGTGGGTCTGAGAGGCAGAGGAGGGGGCCAGGGGCGAGCAGCCATCAGGAAGGGAGGGGAGAGCCAGTGTTAACCCCGCGGGGGCCAGGCCACAGCTGTGGGTTATTTTGGGGTGGAAGGGGGGCTATTCTGAGCACTGATTAAGCCAGCTGCTTGGGGAAGGGCAATGGAGAGGAGGGGCGAGGAGGAGCCAGGATTTGGGAGGGATGCCAGCAAGGAGCACCCACCCCTTTCCCTGGGAAGACAGTGGCCTGGTATCTCTGGAAAGGTGGGGTAGTGGGCAGAGGGGAGGGGCAGAGGCCTCCAGGCAGGAGTGGAGGTATGAGCCTTTCCCCCAACCAGGCTGGCTAGCTGGGTGGCTGTAGGGTGGATGAGGCCTGTGCTACCATGGTAACCGGACAGGAGACTGATTGACAGCAGAGAGAGCCCTTACCTGTCTGGACCTCCACCCCTCCAGGAAGCCCCTAGTGCAAACTCCAGCACCACTCTGGGAGCTAGGAGTCCAGTCCCCAGTGCCCTCCTTCCTCAGACCCAGGACCCAGGAGTCTGGGCTCCCAGCCCATCCACTCCAGGCAGCTCGTATTCAACAGGGAGCTCCTGAGGCAACGCTGTGTTTCCTCTAATTTATTAAATTGCTCCAGGATGGGAGCCAGGGACCCCCTCCCCAACTCTCCACAGCTGTGTCCTCCCCCCAACCCCGAATCCTAGCCTGACCTGTGACTGTCACTCTGAGAATGGGGGTACAGGGACAGGAGTAGGGGGCAAAAATGGACTGGGGGTCATGATCTGGGTGAGGGGAAAGGTCATGGGGCAGTCCCTTTCCTTGGGACGCCCCACTAATCTTTCCCCTCCTTCTCTCCCCCCACACACCTGACCCCTTTTCCCTCGCTCATTTTTCCCTCACTTTTCTTCCTTTTATTTTTGTTCCCTCCTGCCTTCCTGGCCTTCCTTTTATGTCTGTGCCGGGCACCTTCCTGGTGGGGGTCTCGGTCTTTGCTGGGCTCCGCTATTTCTGTCTTCCTGTGTACTCTCTGCTCTGCCTGCCTCCTCCATCTCCATTCTGCGTCCCTGTCGCTCGTGTGCATGTCTCTTGGTGGCTGTGGGGTCTCTGTCTATGGCTTCCTGGCTTGTTTCTGTCTTCCTCCCTGTCCAACTTTCTTGCTTCTCATCTCTCCCGCCTTCCCACATCTATCTGTGCATCTCCCCTGCATCTCCAACACCCTCTCCCTGGGTCTCGATCACTCCCTATTTCTGTCATTCCTCTCTTCTCTCGTCTCTGTCACTCTGAGCATCTCCACCCTGTTTCTCCTGCCACTCTCTCCCTGACCATTTTTTCTGTGGCCATCTCCATCTCTTTTCCTCTGTCCCTGAATCTCTCTTCGATCCTATTTTGGTCCCATTTCTGAGGTCCCCTCCATCCCTGCCTTCTCTTTCTCTTTCCTTACCTATCTTCCCCTGACCCCATTACCACCCCACTCTCCCCGTGTCTCCCTGATGCCACATTCCAACTGAACCACTCTCCCTCTGTTTTGGGGCTCCCTTCCACCTCCCTCCACTCTCTTTCCCTCTGACCCTCTCCTTCTGTGTCTCTCCCTTGGTCTCTGCGTCTCTGTCTCCCTCCTACTACTTCTGTGTCTCTCCTTCTGTCTGTCCCTTCCTCTTCCTCTGTCCTTATCCTCATCTCTGTCTCTCTCCTTCCCTCTCCTCGCTGTCTCTGCTTCTCTCCCTCTCCGTAACTTCTCTTCTGTGGCTCTATCTTGTGTCCCTTCTCTGCACTTGCCCCTCTCCTCTTGTGTCCCTCCCTGGCCCGTGCGTTCAGAGGCCGCCCGGCGGGGCCCGTAGGCGATGCGCGGCGCCGGTGGCCCCCGCGGCCCTCGGGGCCCCGCT